ACACACACACACACACACACACACATACACACACACACACACACACACACAAATTCCCCTTAGAAAACATACCTTAAACCCAGACTCCAAAGTATTCTCAAAGATATGGAACTAATCTACAAGAACTCATTATAATAATTTAAAAATTAGAAAATAAGATACTATGAGCAAAAATCAGCAGAAGCAATAAACAGCACAATTTGACCCACAAGGACTTCAAATATTAGAATAACATCAATAGATCATAACATCACTATTACTATATAAATTTTATCTAAGGAATTAAAATATGATAAAGAACCTATAAAACATGACAGAATCTACTAGAAAAACAGCAAAATAGGATTCTTAGAAATATAAAACATAAACATCAGAATTAAAATTTGGCAAAAAAATGGATTCAATATCCAAAGAATCTTCTTGGATCAGAAGTCCTACAGTGTATGTACCCAAAAAATGGATTAAACAGAAAATTAGAGGTAGCTAAATGGAGATTTAGTAAAATGGGAAGCAAATCACAAGAAAGCGACTCAAACATAGAACACTATCAGACAGAGAAATGAAAATTTAAAGGAGAAATGACACACATAAAAATCAAATCATGGTCAATGTATGTCAAATTGTAATTCTAGGAAATAATAGGTTAGAAGAGAGGCAGTATTACAACATAACAGCAGAGAACTCTCTAAAATCTATCATGAAAACACAACTTGGAGTTGATGTTTTCTAAAATTGATCCTAATAATTTCAAGCAGAATAAATAAAATAAATCTGCATCAAGATGTATAATAGTAAAACTGCGGAATGCCAGGAGATTGACTTTAGAATTTGCTAACTTGGGAAGTATCTATAATTTCTATTATAACCACTAAAATAATGGAGAATATAAATATTTTTAATGTTAATTATGAATCCACCAAAACTTAAGAATTGGTTAAAAAAAATGTCAAAATGACAACAAATACATTGTTTTTCTTGAAGGGAATGATTGATCTTTACAAATATATTTCTGTAATCTTAGAATAAGACAATGTAAAACAAGAACAGTAGAAAGGTTAAAAAAGAAGAATGAAATTCTATAGAAAAAATGGCAATACTTAAAAGAAACATAGTTTGCTCTGTTATAAACATACAAAATAGATTTTCATGCAGAAAGTAAGTCTAGAGATGAAAAGAAGTTCACAACAAAATCATGATATGATTCATTATGAAGAAATAGTAATTTAAACTCTTACGCAACTAACAGTACAGCTTCCAAACACAGGGAAAAAACTGATAACACCGCAAGAAGAATTTTACAAATTTACTACTATTTTGAGAGATTTTTGACCAAAAAACAAGTAAAGTTATGAAAGATTGAAAAATTATCAACCTTGTAATCTGCATATATATTAAACATGATACCCAATAACTGGATAGCATATTATTTGTTTTTTTTCAAAAATATAAAAATTAACCTCATAGTTTTCACAAATTTCAAAGCCACCTTTCATTCACCCACTTTACATTCGAAGAGAAAGTGAAAATGCTGTGATGTTCAATACTGGTAACAAAGCTATTAAGAATCAGCCCATATGGTTCAAGATTTTAATAAATCATCTCTTTCATGTGAAAGAAGAAATTATAAAATAAATTGGAAAATACTTAAAATTGAAGAATAATAAAACAGTACATATAGGCTACACAGTGAAACTAATAGAATACAGTGAAACTCCTCATTAACTACTCAGGAAAATGGATAATCAAGCATTCAATTTCAAAGTTAGTCAGTTTCTCAACAGGCATGTTATTGGGCTTTGGGGAAGAAGAGTTCTTTGTTGAGCTGGAATGTCCCACGCATCCCAGGATAAATACCAACCTGGCTTTCTTCCACCAGCTGCCAAGACCAGTCTAGAGTTGCTGTGAAAACAGAAAATGCCTCCACACATTTCTGCATCACCCCCCTCTCCGCCTCGTAGGTGATACACCCTCCATTTGAAAACTGTGAATAAGACAAAGAACAAAAGAATAAAAAAAAAATTAAAAAAAAGAATAAGCCCAAAGAGAGAAGCAGTAGATAACAGCCAAAGTAAAGACAAGAGTTTGATCCAGAAAGTGAGAACAATATAATTTGGTCAATGGAAAAATATGTGACAACAGATCCCACAATCATGTATAGCTTTAAAGCGCACACACACACACACACACACACACACACACACACACACACATACAAAGGATTAAAAACAAAAAATGGTAAAGATCAAAACAAAAAGAAAAAAAAAAAAGCAAAGTAAGTACCTAACATCAAACTCAAGACTAAAAAGATAATAAAATGATAGTGCGAATAACTAGGTTAATAAATTTGAAAAAGCAAATCCAACGGGCAAATATATATGAGGACGCATATGTGCATACACATACACACAGTGTGTGTGCATGTGTGTGTGTGTGTATGTGTGTGTCCTTCAAAAATTTCAGGAAGACATGGAAGACCTGACTGTTTCTAAACTTGACTGAAGCAGTGAGTTTGTATTTGTAATCTTTCTGACCAATGAAATAACCACCTCAGACTGTTTTTAGGCTAATTCAACAAAACATTTAGGGAACAATTACAATGTCTTACAACATCTCTAAGAGGACAGAACACTAAAAAAATATCTCCAACTCGGTTTATAGAGCTGGCATAGCTGTAGAAACAAAGCCAGAAAAGAATAGTGTGAGAAAATTAAATTAGAGGCCAATTCACCCATGACTGTCAAGGCAAAAATCCTAAACAGAGCATTAACAGACCGAGTTGGCAAAGTAAATAAGAAAATACAGGACAACATGGGCTTTAACTCAGTAACACAAGATTGGTTTACCCCTGAAAAATCAATTCCTGGATTTAACCACATTAATAGAATAAAGAGGAAAAGGTGTGATCACTCCTAGACATCAACAAAGTATTTAGCAAGCTTAACATTCACTTTTGATTGAAGTAAATAAGGCCTTAATAAACTAGGCATAGAATATAATTTCTTGAACTTTTAAAAGACTATCTAAAAAGTGTTGCAAATATTGGCCATAAAATTTGAGAAATATTCCCTTTGCATTTGGTCCAAATCAAGAAAATTCAGAACTGTCCTACCTGTTTGACACTGTTATGAAGGATTTAGGCAGTGAGTGAATACACCTAGAAAAAAATGGGTAATAAATGTTATAAGGACTAGAAAAGGAAGACACAAGTTTGCTAGTGGCAACACTGTTCATGCCTGTTGATATAGAATGCTCAAGTGGATTGTCAAAAAAAGAATTCAACAAACATGCTAAAAATTAGATCAATATAAAATTCATGCTATTAAATTAACAACAACAAAAAAACGAAAGTGCAAAGGTAAAGGCCCCTACATTCTCGTGTCTACATCTGTCAATCTCTGTGTCTCTATCACTATATCTCTCCACCTACATCTTTGCTTCACTTTCTTGTTTAGCTATTTTTCAGAGATTAACATTGACCATATTTTAATCATTTTTGTATTTTAATATCTCTCACATTATTTCAAATCCTTTTCACTTCTTCCTTTATTATTTATTTTAAAAATTTGTTGTCTTTTACCATTTTTTTCTCTTAAGTCATTATGTGCTTACGTATCTTCCAACTCCAATTCTGAAAAGTATTTTTCTTTCATTTCTAATATTTTCCTCAGTTCTTTCATCCTGTGTCTGAAGTTTTGCATCTGACCGATGTTGTCCTTTTACCTTTGTGCCATTTTCTTAATTTCCTTACCCATCTTAAATGGGTAGATAATGGTTTGGGAAGTGTCTGTCAACTTTAATTTCAAGGTGCATGAGGACATTCCTTGACCTCTTCCCATCCCCTCACCCCCCAAAAAAAAATCCATGAGATTTGATTTTGAGAACTTTCTGTTGCTCGATTTTATGTGAAATTATGTTTTTCTGAACTTTCAAAAGGAAACAGTGTTTAAGATAACTTTTCTAGTGTAATAAGCTTCCTCTTATGGTGGTTTCATAGAATGCTCAAAAACACAGCAGCTGTTTGTGTGTGTGTGTGTGTGTGTGTATGTGTGTGTGTGTGTATGTGTGTGAAATTTCCTGTCTCCTTCATGCTTTTATCTGTATCTTTTATTTCTCTCCCCATTCTTAAAATGCTGCTCAATTTTTGTTAGACATGGGGTCTTGTCCTGGGGGAGTTCCCTGGTTTGGGGATTTCAGGGATTCCTAGAAGCCAGATGGTGCCAGCTTTCCATCTTTTCATGGTAGCTGGCTGTACTCATGGCTATCTCCCTTGACTAAACCCTTCCTAGTTCAAGGCTCTTTGCAGACTGGCTGTCCCTGCTTTCCTATAGATAACCTGCTGGCTCTTTTCAAATGGTTTTCTTCCCAGGTAAGGCAGACAGTTTTGTTTTTCCATTTCTTTTTCCTACCCAAATGCTGAAACCATGAAGTCTTATTCATTGGTTTGTTTCCTCACGCACTTGTGTTTTGGGGTTATCTTGGCATTTTTATTGAAAGGATTGAACACAGGATTTAGATTTATCATTTATTTGCTCTGTCTGATTTTAATGGAGATTTATGGAAAACTATGCCTCAGTCAACACTGCCATCTACCCAGAATCTTGGGTCTTTAATTTTTCCAAAGAGGAGAAAAAAGAATTTATTAATAGAACTTTATTTTTTTCTTGAGTGTAATAATGGAAATTGGCTCTATTTTAAATTGTGAGCATTTTAATATTGCTGGACTTATATTATTTGGACGGTTTGGGCTATTCTTGGTGAGTGAAAATGGACAGAAGAGCCGAGCTAATTTAAGATGAGAAATAAAATATGGGCCATATATCTTTGGCTTGGATTGCTTTCTAAACCTATCTCAGAAGCTTTAGTGAATGACAACTGCACTGTCATGGTATGCTTTTCCATTCCATTAGTTTAGGAAAATGCAAAGAAACTGCAAAAGTGGTAGGGTGGATCAAAGTCTCCTCATAATGGACAAAACTCTTCAGGCCTTTCCACCTCAGGTTTCCCATTACCCAGAGCAGTGCCAGCTTAATAAACATAAACTATTTATGCTTTTAACATAATCCAAAGACTTACTCAACAACATACACAGAACTTATTGCCGCAGTCCGGCTGCAGCAAACTAACCGGGGGTGGGGGGGGGTGACGAGCAACTTGTGTAGATTGATACAGTATGATACAGTAGGAATGGGAGCCATTTATATTGTAGGACAGGAGAGGTATTTAAACATTCCACACAGCTTATCTAATTAGCATAAACTAGATACAGCAGTCAATCAATATAAGGAATCTTCACACTTAATGGCTCACTGGCATTACTTCACAAACCACTCCCTCTAGCATTTTGCCAGGCGCCATCTTGACTTCTTTTACAGACCCTAACATTTCTCTGGCAAAATGCCAGGGGCCATACCGACTCGGCTGTGGCTCTCAGCAACTTATTATGGACCTTCCATATTTTGATGGCCAGCTTTTAGTTAGTTGCACAAAGTGTCCAAAATTCCATTTATATTTACTGTTTTAATCAGAGTATTTTGTTCTTAAAATTCCGTTCCTCTAGAATCATTCTTGATATCAAAATCTGAATCAGCCAGGGTTCCCCAAACCAAACAGAAACTATTGGTTCTATAGCACAGAATTGATCAGTCCTCTCTCTATAAAGAGATGAAAGGAAGCTAATTACAAGAAAATGGCTAGTGTGGTTAAGAAGCTGGCAAGTCCAAATCTGCAGTGTGGATGGCACGCTGGTGACACAGGAGAGTGAAGGATATAGTTTCAGTCTGAAGGTTGGCAGCCTATACACCCAGGAAAGCTGAAAATGCAGATGAAGTCTGAATATGGTCAGCTAAGAATTTCTCTCTGACTCAGGGAGGCCCATCTTTCAGTTCCATTCAGGCCTTTGACTGATTAGATAAGGCCCATCCACATTGCAAAGAGCAGTCCGCTTCCTCCAAGTTCACAGTTCACCAATTCAAATGGTAATCTCATCCCAAAATACTATCCAAGTTGACCTACCTATTTAACCAGCACATTTGTCTTGGTTTAGAGTAAACTGTTAGACTAGGTATCCTCTCTAGTACCTAACCATAGAACCAATTAAACCAAGCAAAACAATAACTCCATGATTCTTAGAGATAGAGCAGTTTGTATTCCATTTACAGTGGAGCTACTCCTGTGGGGAATCAGGACAGAGGGGTTCTCTACACTGCCCCTGCTCTTCCTCTTAATTCATTATGTAGGTATCTTAGGCTAATGCACAGACACTTTCTGATACATTTTGTGATGATAGATTCACCAGTTGGTAATTATGGATTTTTGTTTCTTGGAGATTGACCTCAAATTAATATTGAATAGTATTATTATGTCAACTACACTCCAGATATCCTTTTTCATGTTTCATGAAATCATATAGAATCATATACTCATATAACTTCTTTCCCTAATTTTTCATAATTTTCTCATTTTATATGTGCATGATTTTGTGAAAAAAAATCTTTAAAAAAATATTCAGAACAACATAGAATTGTGCTTTTCTTCCTTAATTCTGATAGGTTATCACTCTGTAATGAATGGAATTGCCATTCTGAGATTAAGAAGGAAGGATTGACTCCAGTAACAAGCAACATGACATACTAACTTAAAACCTTGACTTAATTTGAACCTCAACTCAATGATTTTCACCAATTCCTTGCACAGATGGTGCCTAATTTGCATGCGTTGATGTGACAGAGGCCAGAGTAGCTTGAGGTTCAGTGTGTACAATTTAGTTAAGTTTCCCACTACCAGTTTTGACCAAAGTGATGGCACCTGCTCCTGCCTGGACAAAGAGAGGACCTGCAGCACACATACCTCTTGTTTCCTGTGATGGTCCCTCAGTTAACTCCATGAGGAGATTCTCTGCAGCCATTTGCTTTTAAAGGGAGAAATTCTAATGAATGACTCATATTAACACTCATTACTAACTCACGGAGCTAACCAGCAATATATTTATTGTGAAACTAAACACCCAGTTTGATTATGGAGTATGTGTATAGAAAATTGTTTAATAACCAAAACATATATTTTTTTAGGAAACCAGTAAGTAGAATAGCTAAAACAAAACAAAACAGAAATTAAAAAAAAAAAAAAAGACCCAGTTCATGTGATATACATCTAGGAAAAAAATTACCTACTACAAATAGAGAATTGTTTATGTTTGGGGGCAAATCATAATTTAAAATTTCTGCTCCATTAATTTTAAATGTGCTCCCTAACAACAAACTCTCCAGTGTGCTTTTTCATTGTTTGTCTGCTCATCTCTCTTATATCTGTTGGGGGAAAGATGTATTTAATGTGCTGAGTCAAAATGAACCACTGAGATTAATGAAATTAGTATAATGAATTTATATGAAATAATTCAATTATGAGAAAAGTCTATTTGGGTGAGTTCATGAAGTTTACCATTCATTTTTTTTTAATTAATTTAATGGCAAGAGTGCTTCTTACAAAATGTATGAGACACTTTGGATTTAATAGTTTTTCCCAGTTTCCAAAAATGTAAAGCAAATGTATTTTCCATGAGAAAGTGAAATTATTTTCTTCATTTCAACTTTTTAAGAGTGGCATTTATCAAACTCCATTTTAGAGTTCTACAGCATACTTTATTTCATGAATGCTCTTTATTGAGATTTATTAGCCTTTTTCTTCCTATATTAAAATATTTTTAAAGTGATCTATTTACATAATACAAATTTTTGGTTTAATTCCAAAATTAAAAAAAAATAAGATGGGGTTGCTCTTCATCTTAGTTACTCTAAATTTTGGCAGGACAATTCCACAAGGACACAAATATCCCATTTCAAAGTGATTTTAGAAATGTCTAAAGGATCAGCAGCTATTCCCATTATACAAATCTACATGTTCAAAATGCAGGGACCATAGTTTGGGTTTCTTTTAACCTGATGATACCTCAACAAAACAGAGTCAAAGGTAGCTTTTAAATATTAGTGCCTATTAATGTCATCTAAGAAACACTGCCCAGCCTTTAGGGATGACTGTTCTTAAGTTCAGGCTTCATTAGAAAGGCAGGAGGCAGTTCAAAATTTAAAAACTGTGTTAAAGGAAGGTATTATGTATTTCTATAAACTGAACACTCTTGGTGTTATGATTTGGATCTGAAATGTTCCCCCAAAGCTTATGTGTTGAAGGCAATGCAGTAAGACCAGAGGTGGGGCTTTTCAGAAATGATTGGATCAAGAGGACTCTAACCATATAAATGGATAAGTCCATTTGATGGATTAATAATTTGAATAAACTAATGTGCATTAAATGTAGGCATGTTGATCATGGCCAGAGGAAGTAGGTCACTGGAATCATGCTTATGGGGACTATGTCTTGATGTCTTGTCCCTGGTCCCTTTCATAATCTCTGCTTCCTGGCTGCCGTGAGCTGAGTAGCTTTCCTCTGCCTCACCCTTCCTCCATGACGTTCTTCTCACCTCAGGCCCAGAGCAATAGAGCTGGCCAACCATGAACTGAAACCTCAAAACTGTCACCCAAAATAAATCATTCTTCCTCTAAGTTGCTTACGTCAGGTATTTTTGGTCATAAAATCATTTTAAACAACTAAATAAAACATAGGTCATAGCTCATTAAGGAGCATATTTTAATGATATTTACAACTAACTCTACTTCATTGGCTTTAACTATCTTGTTCCCATTAATTCACTGATTTGGATTTTTGTCAAAGAACTCTTCAATTCTTTCACTTGTCAATCAAATTTTACTTCTACTTTGAAGATTTTGGGTTATCTTTTCCTCAATTCATAGGCTTCTTATATCTCAGTTATCTATTTCTGAGCAACAAATTACTCTAAAACAGTGTCTTAAAATGTCACTTATTATTTCTCACTAGTTTTTAGTGTTTAATGCTGTTGACTGGCATTGCCTAGCCAAAGTGATATTTCTTACCACTAAGTAATAAATAAATTTAGAGTTAATCCCATCTCTGGGGGCTTATCTGGGACTTTTCACACACATGCCTGCCAGTCAACTGGCTGTTAGCTGATCTAGGATGGCCTCAAATGGGAAAACTTCCTCTTCCATGTGGTCTTTTAATCCTCTATTGAGGACTGTCAGGAGACTCCTCCCTAGATTTAATGAGAGTAGAAGGAGTCACAGAACCCAACAAATAGCCATACTCATTGGTATAGTTTTATTAGCAGGAGAGGAAACAAAGCAAAATTTATAAAAGCAGAAGGCACATGGTACAAAATCCTGAGCAACCAGTCACAAGCTTCCAAGGACTAGGATGTGCTTAGTCCCTCCAGCAATTAATTATAGAAACACATTTGCAACATTCTATTAGGGAAGCTCAGTAAAGACCCAGTAGCCATGATTCCTTTTGGGGGCTATTTCTATTCCCATTTACTTGGCTTGTACCACAATTCCAGAATCTTAGAATGAAAGTAGATATTCAACAGAAGCTATAGAGTTTCCACAAATAGTTTAGGCACAGTGAACTATTTTTATTAATTAAGGTGGTGAGAACTTCTAAGTTTCCAGATGCCATCTAAAGAACCCAAAGTTCTTACCAAAGACAGTAATCTCCGGCTGTTGTCTGGGTATTATCCTGAGCTTGTTCTCTGGCTAAAGCAAAGTTATCTGAAGGTGAGGAGAACCACACATGGCCTCTTGAGGCCTACACTGGGAATTGGCACTTCTTCACTTCTGACATAGCCAACTGGCCAAAGTGAGTCTTGCGATTCAAGAAGAGAGGAAATGGATTCCATCTCTTTTTTGGAGAGATTGCTGAATCACTTTGCAAATGCCTTAAGTAGTCATCAGTTGGGTTCATGAAGGCAGTCTGTCTACAACACTTTCCAAACTTTTGTTCTTTGCTTTAGTGAATCTAAAGAAGCTTGTGACTTGTCGTATCCCATCTAGGCAGCCCCATTTCATAATTAGCTTTGCTCATTACTCCTTTCCAATCATGTATGGATAAGATTCTGGCCATCTTTCAAAAGTTACTCCTCAATATCGGTTCATTATGATGTCTCTCACAAGACTGGACAGATCTCTATCAACTCCAGCTTCAGCAACTCAACGTGTCTACGTCCCACTGATGAACTGCAGTCTCTGTCACACCCAAGAGGTTTGAAACCCAACTGGATTCAGTCTTTTAAATAGCAGCCAAATCTAGGACCAATCCCACTGCTGGGAGTCCAAGTCCATAACTTTCCAAGAGCTTGTCCAGAGCTTCTTGGGCGGCTGGTGGAGAATGCTTCAGGGAAAATTCCAGGACAGTTGAATACAGATCCCAAATTGGGGGTTATACTTGGAAATCAGAAATAATTGATGTCTCACGCTCATTCTTCTTGACGTTTTCAGGCTAGCTATGATCAAATCAGAGTGTGTCACTATCGGGAGAACTTTATGGCTTTTCTTGGTAAGATGGTTCAGCTGTACAGTTTCTATTTAGTGGAGTATAGTCTTAATACCCAAAATAGCAGATTTTTAGCGTGGACTTTAAAGGAACATTCCTCTTAGGACTCTTTCCCGGACAATATAATTCCTCCCCACGACATTTCCTTGGCAGGACAAGCTGACCAACTTTGTCTCAGCCCAGACATGACCACACTAACTGCTCTTTCTCATGAGTTAATGAACTGCTTTCTCTGATTTCTTTCTTCCGACATTCATGTGGCCTGACTTTTAAAGCTAATTGAACAATTTTGTCTCTACTATAATGACTTTTGAATAGAACACCATTCCTTTCAATGAAGGACTGCTTGCAGTATTTTTAATTTTTTTTTTTGTTTTTTGTTTTGGTAAGGATATTGAGGCGCTTAAGCACTGAGCCACATCCCTGGCCCTTTTTTTGTTATATTTTATTTAGAGACATAGTCTTGTTCAGTTGCTGAGACTGGGCTTTGAACTCACCATCCTCCTGCCTCCAACTCCCAGCTGCTGAAATTACAGGTATGTGCCACTGCACCCAGCCCTTTGCCGTATTTTTAGAGGATAAAATTTTGGGGTGAATTTTGGAGAAGAAGGTTTTTGTGCTCACTGGTCAATTATGATAAATTTATAATTTAATACCCAAAGTAAAAACACACTATTGAGAAGGTATTTATTTTTAATCAAAATCTCAATGAAGACTTCAATAAGCTTAAAGGACAAAATAAAAACATTCTCATCCAAATGATCCTTTTAACACAATGATTTTTTTTTCTAAAATCACTCAAAAGACTATTTCTTTTTCTGATTGTGTTTGAAGTAAATTATGTTTAAATCAATAAACATCTAGTTTATAGATGAGTACTTATCATGGGAAAGGACTATGTGTATTTGATGATGTATATTAGCCATATATCAAACAGCATTGTTCAGGGACACAATTTTGCTAAGGAAAATCAAAGACTTACAGAGATTTAGGAGTGTAATCAAAAACATATTGAATTTGGCTAGGAGAATTTATATGCATTGGAATTCAGTCATCTGACTCAAGAACATTCCTGATTTAAAATATTCAGTATACTTAGATATATACCAACTCGTGTGTGTGTGTGTGTGTGTGTGTGTGTGTGTGTTTGCACACATGCACATGCACATACATGCTTGTATTTGGTTTTAAATTGGATTTGGACATTTAAAAATGTTACCACCAAAGCTATTCTCAAAACAATATAATTCAAGAATCTAGAAAACTATACCCTTGCTTTTTTTTTTTTATAAACACCCAAAGATGTCCAATTTGAATATTGCTCCAGTGTCTTATAATAGACTTACTGAAAGCTATTAGAAAGTGAATGCTAAGGAAAGTAATAGAAGTATGAGATATCTGGCAAAGATTCTATGATTTATTGTGTTACAGAGATTTTCCGTACTTTCCTCCATCATTACAAAATGAAAGGGGTCCACCTCTTTTTATTACACACATGCAGTTGTGATTGGGGCTCATTTCTCCAGCCATCTCACATTTAAAATAAAGGGTTGCATCTGCCCCAAGCAAGCAATGGCCAGTCTGTTTCCAAGAGTCAGCCTCCTAAGATAGGGACTGGATAAGATAAGGAGGGTTTCTGAATTGTAACAACAGAAACATCAATGCTCAATCACTTGAAATAATGCCAAGAAATAAAACTGCACCATCCTAGAGTGGAAAAAAAAACAGTATTTTTTTCTTAATATTTTTGACAGTAAAATAAAAGAGACTTTAATGAAAACAAAACAACATTAAAAAAACCCACAACAACATTATTTATATATGTAGTGCTTTAATCATGTGCCATAACTAGAAGAAGCCATTTAAATATGTTATACTGATTGTATTCTGGAACGTTCCCTCAGATTCTAAGACTTAAAAGATTGTTGCTAAGATGTTATTTTTTTTTCCAAAATGATAATTCTTGGCAGGCAGAATATGATTTTATTCACAGGAACATTGTCTCAGGGAATTTTTTAGTAGGAAAATTTTGAAGAGAATTTATAGAAAAAAATGCCTAAGAAAAGATTCCAAACAAAATTATGGAGACATTCTTAAAAGGATTCTAATAAATATAAAGAATACACACCATCACTTGGAGATGAATTTAACTTTATTCAATGGAATTTTGTCTAAAGCATAATAGAGATATGCTATTATGGTTTCTTGTTTTTTTTTATGTTTGTTTACTTAACTATTTCTGTCACATTTTATCTATCCTAGTAGTTGGGTAGTGGAAAATCTGAGTAAAAAGGAAAATACATTTTGATTTAGCCAGAATAATTATGGGTTAGTTGGACATAATATGATCCCCTACCAATCAAATTCTGGTTTTACAAAGATATTTTGAGAAGTTAAATTGTCCTAGAGATCAGAGCAGTGTAAGAAGCACCTACCTGAACTGTGTTTTGTCTGTGTGCCATTTGGAAAATCTTCCTCCTAGTCAGGTCCCTGGAAGAAACAGAAGTGGTAAGCCTCAGGAGACACTTTGATTTAGGGGTTGATTTCTCACCATGCACAACATCTAGGACTTAGAATGTTATTTAAAGAAAGACCCTCTAGTGGGCAGGACACATGATGGGACAGTGCAGGGCTTATGGAACAAGGAGTGCAATAGTCCAGAAAGACAGCAAAACCTTTACATAATAAAACTATTAACTAGCATGTATTTGAAACACATTATAATCCAAAAACTGTATTAAACATGTTGCATGTATTGACTTAATAGATCCTTGGAGTACTTTTGTTCAATTCCTCTTATACAGTGTTCTCCAAATCTTTTCCTTGCATGCACTGAACTAACTATTCTACTTCTCAAATAAAACCAGAACTGACTGATGGGACTAAACATACATGCTCAGAATCAACTTGTACTAGAAGAGGTCCAGTACACTCTCCATCACATGTCACCATAGAGCCACCAATGATTCTAGACTGCAGAAAGATCCTCTAGATAAGAAAACAGGAAGAAATTAGGGAGAACTGCAGCCAAATTGGTGTCACTGAAGTGACAATCCATTCAATATGAACTTCATTAGGCCAGAATGAGTAATTCCCTGAGCAATGAAATACTGGGTCTACAACATTTTCCAAATCCTTGCCCATTCTTCTTTATTCGTCAGTGAGCAGCCTGAAGGGAATTCCAGGTTAAGGTTAGAGCTCTCCACACCACATCCATCTTCTCACTATCCTTGTTTCTTATCATTCTCTTCCATTCTCCCTTTTCCTTTCCTAGGAATGGCTCATGTCCTGCCAATTCTGTCTCTTTCCAAAGTCCTCCTCTCCTTGGACCTACTGCCAAAAAAGTATTACCAAATGTGCTTTTCCACACTGGAACTGTGAGGGATACAAATCAGAAGAGTCCCTAGCCAGTATCCTTCCCTTCTGGTATTTTCCTTTGCACTTATGGTGCCTATTTTCAACCTTAAACTTTCCATTACCATTTCCATTCCATTCCTGTGGGAGTCTCGCAACTTCTGCCCATATCTCACCTTCAGAACTTAGGACTTGGAATTAATAATGTTTGAAGAAAGGAGCTTGAAGAAACAATTTATCTGGTAACCTTCACATAATAAATTCAACAATAAGAAAGAAAGTGTAAACTCAATTTCCTAAGCATAACCTTACATTAGGAAAGTCCCATGCAGAGTACACAGGTCTCATTTTGAATACATGTAGGGTGTCTTTTAAAATACTATTCTGGGGGCTGGGGATGTGGCTCAAGCGGTAGTGCGCTCGCCTGGCATGCGTGCGGCCCGGGTTCGATCCTCAGCACCACATACCAACAAAGATGTTGTGTCCACTGAGAACTAAAAAATAATA